ACGGAAAATTTACTAACGACCAGAGACGTAACACTATATTTTATATAAAATTTGAAGAATATCCTTCAAATCCATATAATATACATTAATACACACCATAAGAATTAGATAGTCTTGTTCTTTTGATTTGACCTTGTCCAGATGAGGGTGGAATTTCCCGAAACCGGTATAAATTAGTGACAATGGGTGAATCGCATGTTAGATTGGGCTCTATATCTATTTTCGGTATTTATTTAGTTTTTATTTAACGACTCCTCGCTACAAGTTTAACCTTTCATCAGCAGGTGATATATATGCATTGGCTAGAACAGAAATAAACTGAACCTTAAGAAAAGCATGTGACCATCATAAGTGGTGTATTAAGCAATTATAACAAACAACGCTATTTAAATAAAAGGTTTATTTAAATGTATCAATATAACGGCATTCTTCAAGTAACTTAATTAACACCTTATTATAAGTGATACTTCCAGTACTATTATTGACAGGTTTCAGTCCTTCGGCAGTAAGTCTGAGGCTTATAATGTTAGAAATCGGATTTCGATACCTGTGGTAGGCACAAAACAGATAGACCATGACGTAATTTTATGTTTAACCACAAGCAAATAAGCAGTTCTTTGTTGGTTTAAATATTTTCCTTCCTTGAGACTCACTTTTATTTATTAAAGTTAACTATTGGTCTTTAAAACTTACAGTTTAAATGTCGAAAAGTGGTGACGCATTATAAATCTATCATTGCCCAACCCAACTGACGAATTCTGGTATTAAGCAAAAGGCTTCTTGGGCAGTGACTTGGGAGAGACAAAAGATGTATATCTGAAGTTCTATTTTTACACGCCTCTGTGTTTGATTGCCAAATGGACAAATAAAGAGGAATGTGAAAAAAATAAAACAAAAAAATCTGTAGTTTATGTCCTTTTTATCACTAGTTGTAGGCCTATTGATGTTAAACCATTGATCTGTTTGGGATATTTTATTACCATTTGGTTAATACTTGACATGTATCATTTTGCTTTGATTAAACTTCTCTCATGTGATAATTTAGAATCTTTAAGTTATTTATCTTCATAAGTTATATAATGAACATAAATTATTTTTAATCTAATTTTGCAAACACTGTATGATTTTCACAATGTCTAAGATTTTATTGTATATCACGTTTTCAAATTAAAAACAAATATTAACGTAAATTACCAGCTAGATCCTTTATTATAGCAGTTTTGTGTTATTTTTTTGGATGTGCAACGAGCTGTTAAATATACAATGATGGTAAGTTCCTATTTTTGATTTATGTAAACAATGATAATTAGTTTTTTGAAGCTACAACTTCGTCATTTACGGAGTTACGCATAATATTATGTATGTGTAAAAGTTTAATATGGTAGGCACATGTGAACTAAATTAATATCTAAAGAATGTGTACTAGGTAGGCATGAGTAACACCAATACAGTCGTTAGGCTTAACTCAGGCATGAAGTCGTACGATATTGTTGTGTTAGGGTTAACAAACCATCGAAGACAACAAGTGATACCTGAAGAACGGCATTTCCCGAAACGTTGTATCAACAATAGTTAACGTCTTGTTGTTTTCGGTGGTTTGACCTACAACATACTTCGTTTTCTCTCTTTGAAAACCACTATGCGTAATTTCATATTTTATACAAAGAATATAACAGATGACCTGATATTAAGTGATAATAATTAGAGTCACGTGAGCCGCATTTTCACGTAATCAGTGTAACTTGTAAGTCAAAGTTAGTGGTTGAAGTTGTAACTTGTAGGGTGTAAGGTGTCTCTATCAAGCCAGATTTCATTTGAGAAATTAATAAAGTGTTTAAGCAAAAAACCATGAGAGTTTGAAATATTTTCTATGCGAGTAAATTAAGAAATACCCAGTCACACATTTCGAAAGAGGGAAAATTTTGTAGAGGATAATATTCCTACTACTTGATTGTTAAGGGGTAGGGGTTCCTTTGTAGGTACGGGATCACTACAGTTTTTAAGTAATGGTATAGAGGAGGCACCAAAATATTGTTATTGAATTTAGAAAACATTCTATGAGGAAAATTTAAGTTATATACTCTGCTGCACATTAAAATTGAAGAAACCTTTGATAAACCATCATGTTTCTACCTCTTCTTTACAGTAGAGGTAGGTATTTGTTTGGAGTCCGTGACTTCCTGTGTGGGTATGAAATCAGTCCAGTTCTTGTATGATGGTGTAGAAGAGTATTGTTAATGAAATATTAAAAGAGATTGTAGTAGGCAAAATTAAGTTATAGACTCAGCTGCACATTCAATTTGAAGAAATTTGTTTGAAAATGATGCTTTTTTCCTCTTCCATACAATGGAGAGGGGAGTATAAGAGACCAAGCTGCATTCTAGTAATTTCTTAGTTTTATCAGGTAGATTGTGTTTAGTAGGAAAGTGTCTGATAAAGATAATACACACATATGATACTTTGTATTAAAATTTATTGCAGCTATTATCTTCATATCTGTAGTTTCCGTAAACTTGTTTATTTGTTTTCATGTAAACTAATCAATTGACAAAAAGTATGATTTAAAGGGTTATTGTCACAAAAATGATCAACTAGTTCAAACTAATGTTTCTAATTATTCCAACAATCAATTAGAAAAATTATGGTTAAATTGATTGTCACAAAAATAATCAACTAATTCAAGGGGAGAGTGCCTCATGATTGTTAGGTCTCAGGTTCAATTACCATTGCAACCAAACTTGCTTGCCCTGTCTTTTACATTACTAACTAGAGTGAAGGCAGCTGGCTAGCAGCACCTACTGGTACCTTTTTGACTACTTAAAATATTGATATTCTTTATTTTTTTATGTTGTGGTATGTTTCTAATTCATGATTATGTAACTGTATTCTTTAATATTGTATAAGCAGGTGCAGATCTAGGGTAGGGATCAAGGTGGTCTGCCCTTCCAATTTTTTTCAGAAATTAATAGAAAAAAACAGCCAGATATCCTTACACTACCATATAATATCAAAAAGAAGGATTTGATGTCAAACTGGGTTATTAATTACCATAAAATAAACACAGCTGTAGTCTACAGCAATCCAGTCAAGACCTCAGCCAACACTCGGTTATTTCTAAAGTAATACAAAAATATTAATATCAATTAACCCTCAACTGGTAAGGTGGAGTCAGAATGACCCACATCAATTTTTGAAGTTGATATTCCAACTCAACTAGTGCTGCTCTCATCCTGATATTTTCTGTACTCTACTCTATTCTCAATCAATTCTTGAGTATTGACAAGATCAGATGTGCTGTTGCAGTTCTATTTCTTACTTTTGTAATAGTTTGTTTATCCTTTTTGGATCACTCTGACCCTACCAGTTGATGGTTAAACATTGCCATGGTAAAATTTGGAGCTTTGACTTTTTTAGACTTTTGAGATTTGTTTTTGTTAAAGTTAGTATTGTTTAGGACAACTGCAGCTGTTAAAACATACTTTTTTTAAAATTGTTTTTTATTGTTTAAAAGGTAGAATTCTTGTGAGAATGATGTTTTGGTATTGGTGATGTCCAAAATGCAAATGGTATGATTGTAATTAGTAATTTTTTAAAGATTTTGTGAGAACAGACATCCTGTTTCTGAATGAATACTATAATTGTTTTTCTAATCATGATTATAAATAATTATAACTATTTAATTTTAATTAAAAAAGGGAAATCTTTGTTTTTAACTGTTTTTATTTCAATCATACTACTAGAAATAAAAAAATATAAGCTTTGAAATTGCTGGATTATAACCCATATGACTTGATCACTTACAGAATATATTAATTATTTTATGTTTGACTTATTTAAGTTTAGGACTGATGATTGATACTGATTAATCCAAAATACTATATTATAGTGCTAGTCTCTACTTGTACTGAAAATTTGGTTACATTGTTACATAGCTTACTTTTTAAAAAGTTAACAATAAACCTAGATTTGGGGGATGGATTTGTCATTCCTCAGAACCCCACCACAGACAGCAGTGGTTATGTGTTAAGATTCTATGTCTGTGAATTTTTTCATTTGTGTATAGACACTTAGAATACCAGTACCATCATGGTGTTAAGTTTTAATACTTGCCCCTCATATCCGAGCTTAGGTGTTGCTAAATTCAATGTCTCTTACTGGAAAAGTTGACTGGTTTGTAATTTGATCACACCATTCAGCACAAAAATGTCTTTGTGCTAGAGCTGTTTGATACAATAGTATCATACCCTTATTGTAAAAAATGAAACATTATTGCAGCTAGCATTGAAAACTTGAACATGGTTGTTATTTGTTAACACAATAATATTGTATTGTCTGAATAAACTTTCTAGTTTTATTATTGTTAATTCTTTAATGGTTTTTATACTTTGTAAATTGATATTTCTGGAATAATACGCCGGAAAAGTGTACACAGTATTACTGCAACAAGTGATTGATAAGTAATAAATCTATCGTTGTTTCTTAAATTTTATCAATGCAGTGGGGTTAATATGTATAGATGATACATTTTCATTTACGAAATATAGGTTTAAAAAAAGTAACTGAATTCTAAATTTTTGTACCTGAACTCTGAAGACAAGGATACTCTGGCTTTTTATAGTTTTTAGTCAGTTTTATATATTAATTCTAACTACATTTCAATGTTTTTTTTTTTCTTTTTAGAATTTTTATGCCAATGAATAACTTTAATTTTGCTAAGAATGAATTTATCACCCCTTGAGAATATATTAACCATTTCTTGATTTTGGAGCACTTCCCTTGTTTTTGTACAGGCATTAACTGTTACTTTGTTATGGTGACACATCAAGTGATTTTACAATTTACTACATTACATCTTTGAAAACAGTTAAAAAGAAAGTTTAAGTATGATTGAAAAGAACAAGAATTAGACTGTTTTGTCATAGTAAAGTAAATATATAGCTTTAAGAATTTTTGTAAATATTCCTTTTGTTCATGAATGTGAAAGTATTTGTGTGAAATTACGGTATACCTATTTGAAAGCTACAGGTATTTCCTTCAGTGAGAAGACAGATAACTTGAGATAAGGTATGCTTACACAGTTTAGAAATGGGTTGAATGGTTACAAAGAAAAGCTTATTACAGCTTAACACAATAAAAATGTACAACATTGAAGAAAGTATTGCCATCATTAGGTACAAGTAGTTTACCTAGACACAGGATTATGTATACATCACTGGAGATTTCTTAAGTCTTGGTAAAAGTATCCTGTTGATGTTTGTCTCTTAATTTAAAATTACAGTGTTTTTACTTTCTAATGGACATTTTTTTTTCTTTGAGTTGTGATGTTTGTAAACGTGAGTTCTTTTTTTTTAAATTATGGTCACCGAATGAAATCATCATGATCATACTTTGTTACTATTATAATTTTTTTAAACACTTCACTCTTAATGATCCAATTAGTGTTTTTATCAAAAGGGCAATAATAGTATTTGAAAATTCTTTACTGTAGACTGCTTTGAGGTGGATTGCTACCAAAAAATTTATCAGTCTTGATCATAATCATGGGCTCTTTAGTGAGTATGGTAGACAACTGCAAGATATTCTGATGACCCAAATCTTTAATGAATATTATTTTTACATTCATCCTTATCAAGTAACATATATAAATGGATTGGCTGACTGGCTACTTAATTATTTCTCATTGCAATTGTGATTTGTTTTAATTAAAAACATTATTACTCTTATCAAAGATAGTTAAACATGTTTTCAATATTTAATTATCAATTTATTTGATTTACACACTATCAGTGGGTGATTAGAGCATATTTTAAAACAAAATGACAAACATGTGGTTGTCTCTAGTTGATATTAGCAATTCATTTGCCAAGTAGGAAATATCCAGATTGTTTTTAAAACATTTTGTTTGTACAGGTGTGTGTGTGTGTTCAGAACTAATTGGATGCAATTTGTTAATGAACCTGTTGATTAATTTATTAGCAAAAACCACTGATCACCAAGCTCTGCCAGTGATTAAAGAATGATATATTTTTTCTTATAAATTCAGATTCATTATTTATACCATTTGTAAAGTCTCACACTTGCCTTGTTTTTACTGGGAGTTTAATCTATGACTGTCATTTAATCTCAGAACTTACCTATTCATGGACTTGTTTGGAAATTTGTGTGTTCAGATTAATTTTAAACAGAATTAAGGTAAGTGATGTAAGATGTCAAATATTGCAAAATACAAAGCTTTTAGATTTGAAAGAGTGATAAAACATAATTTTGTTACTACTATAATTTCTTTAAACATGTCACTCTCAATGATCCAATTAGTGTTTTTATCAAAAGGGCAATAATAGTATTTGAAAATTCTTTACTGTAGACTGCTTTGAGGTGGATTGTTACCAAAAAGTTTTATCAGTCTTGATCATAATCATCTGTGTATTGATAAAAATTGTATTGTGAATACATTAATTTTGCAAGTTTTATTGAAATAGTATTAAACATTACGATTATAGTGTTAAAGCACCTTTATTATTTTAATATTCACAGTGTAAAGAAAAAGTCATTGCTCATGACCTTCCTGAAGCTCTTGCTCATCTGAATCTAGTTAAAGATCATGCATATACAGCTCTAACTACAGTAAACAGTTTACTTCAGAGAGTTCAAGATGGAGATCTTCCCACGAAAAAGGTTTGTGTTTTCATAATGAACATAATTTTTTTTTCAGAAATATGAATTTCTACTAATTTGTAGTTCCATGTTTTGTTTTCTTAGAAATAATAAATTTTAAAAATTACAGTAATTTATATTTTTTGAACTATTGGAAAAACTAAAAAATTATGGTCAATGTACATGCAGTACTAGCTTGTTTGTGGTTTTTCTTGTGAATATTAAAAAGATGAAAACAATTAAATTGTACATTTTAACCTTTAACAATTTTGTGATGGGCTCGGAATAATATACACAAGTTAAATATTTATATTATAACTTTTAATGCAGTAAGTGTATCTTCACAAAATGTGGTAGACGTTTAGTAAAGACTAAAAGCCTTTTGTACACAAAAAAATCAGATTTTTTAATGAAGTATTTTTATTATAGATTTATTTTTGTTTCATTACCAAAAAGTTTATCAGTCCTGATAATTATCAGAATAAATTTAAACAGAATTAAGGTAAGTGACATAAGATGTCAAATATTGCAAAATACAAAGCTTTTACATTAGAAAGAGTAATAAAACATAACTTTGATACTATTATAATATTTTTAAACATTTCACTCTTAATGATCTAATTAGTATTACTATTGTTCCTCCCTCAAACCTCAAATATTATTTGTGTAATCTTTAAAATCCTCTAAATGCATTTCAAATGTTTGTATTCTGTAAAACTATATTTTTCCTGTTATTTTCTATACCCTAACTTTATGGGGGTTTGTCAATTTGACCGGCCTCATAACCACCATAAAAAATTAGGAAATAGATTTCAATTATGCTTTTTTTCATTCTAAAATGACTACAGATTACAACACGAAAACATGAATGTTTAGTCTAAATAGCTTAAATCTCATAACACTATACATTTATATATAATTATTATTTTTATTATATTGACCTTACAGCTATGCCTGGCTAACAATACAGAAGTTACAATGACAAGGCACACTTGCGCTAGTGATACCATATCCAATAATATAAAACTGAAATAAAGAAGTAGAGCAAACAATTATCTCTTCTAGTTACGACCTTTGTACTCATTTGCTGCTTGTCATAGGTTGCTAAGCCTTATG